CAAAAACTATTCAAGATACGACCTTGCCGACTTCACAGGATATTTTTGGAAATATAAACTATCCAAAAAGCAAACAAAAAAATCTTTCCTTTTTGAAAGTGTCACACTGGTATAGCCCCTTAAGTCAAAATATAATGCTTAAACTAATATTTGAGATATGAAAATGGAGATTTGCCGTAAATTTTTAAAGAAAACATTTTTTGAGAAAAATTTTTAAAATGTAAATAGTAAATTATGAGGTTATGTGAAAACAGTGTTAGTACAAAAGTGGTAGGTCCTTTTAAGCTAGAACTTTACCTATGACAGGAAGAAGAAAAAAATCGTTGTTTATCCTTAAAAACTCAATAACTCGCTATTTATATTCTCCTCTTTTGCAACCTTTTCTTCTTTCCTTGGTTTTCAGCCTGCTATAATTTTTTAACTTTTTTGCTATTTTCACAGATTTTGGCCCAGACTTATTATGTTTACTTTCATTCAAGCTCAATACTTGCTGTCTATGGTATAATATTCAATATAAATACTTACTTGGCTAACGTGTTCCCATACATTGATTTTTACGAGGCACACATACACACTATCCCACAAGCATAAGCGAACGGATATTATACACTGACTTTAGTCAGTATGCTTAAAGCACACATTAACACCTACATACTCACATTTCATAGAGACGCAGCATGCGCGGAAATTTCTCGTTACGCAGTGTGAGCAAATTATCACTCAGCATTAGCCATTCGAGGCGTGGCATGTCCACAAATTGTGCCAACGGCAACGTACGCAATTGATTCGAAATGAGAAATAGCCACATCAGAGATTTCATGCCACGAAATATGCCAGCTGACAAAGCGCTGATATTGTTATGCCGCACATCCAATTTTTCCAGCTGATGTAGGCCATTGAATGTGCCTAGCGGCACATGCGATATGTTGCAATGCTTCAGTAAGCTGCCGAGCCGGAAGGTATGCGTTAAAACAGCAAAAGAAAAGAAATTATATATAAATGTAAGAAATGTGAGGTTAGAGAAGAAACGCGCCAAAAATTGTGTTGTAACAAATCGTACAACAACGGCATAAAGATAGATTGGCGTACAAGCCGGTAAAAGGTCAAAGGCCTCAGTGGCTTGCCGCTAACGGTGTCTACGCACTTCCGTTACTTACAGCTTCTGTAAGTGTTTCAACCCAATAAAGCTATTTTCACGCAGCGTCAAATTACTGCGGCTCATCATCAAATACGTCACCTGCAATGGAAACGGACAATATTGGTAGCGGTTGGCACTCAAATGTTTTAGCTATGCCTACATGGCGCGCTATAGTTACCTCGGCACTTAAGCGCGGTATGCGCGTCAATTTCGCCTTGCGTCCACAATACAATATCGTACGCTGGCGACAGGTGCAAACACCTTTTGGATATGTTGTTATTTCTGTAATAGTATAAGCATATATTTACATAGAATAAGTCACAAGTTGCACGAACTATGTGGTATACATATTAAACGCTTGCGGAATGCCTCCGCAGAAATATGAAATGTGACACTTGAATGAATACTTACCGCAAAACGCAGCATCTTCGTTACCACGGCCTACCGTACGACGTCCACCATTTTCGGTGTCAATGGTTGCCGGCTCCAACGGTGTTACATCTACTGTCGTCACATTTATCAATGGAGTCGTGGTGCCATTGCGCCCGCTGCTAAATGTCTTTCTCTGCTGTTGTTGTCGCCGCCGTTCAATTGCATTGCCGACAATTTTATCGGTCAGCGCCTTACTGCCATAAAGTAGGCCACACTCCACCGGGTGCTCGTCGCTGCCATCCTCGCAATCTGTGCGATTGTCGCAAATTTGACGCTGCGGCACGCACAACGTGTTGCCATCACAGGCGAAGGTGCCTTGCGGACAGGGTCCTGCAAAGAGATAGAATGATAGCATGAGAGCGCGTAGGCTAACCAAAACAATTTACAGTTGAAATGTTAGTAAAAAACTCGAGTGGCAAAAAAATTAGTGAGCAGCGCGAATAAAAAGAGAGCAATTAATGAAATAAAAAATGTCTGAATGAAATTGTTGCCAGATCCAGCGTTGAACGGCAAATTAAAATGAAAAACAAAAAAAAAATAGTGTTTATAGCATCACCAAATACTTTTATTGCCGCACTGGCGTTTGTTCAACCGCAGCTCACGTTGGACGTTGCRAATTAATGTAACCACTAACTACCCGCAGCAGAACGTTAATTTAAAATAATTGAAATGAACTTTTACAAGCTGTCTGCATTTTTATTTGCACAATGCGTGCTCCTTACCAGCGAAGTAATGGAGGGAGGGTGGTGAACTCAATTAATTTATGTCCGAAACAGAAAAAATCGATTTCTTAAGGTCTACTGGTGAATATAATATTGGTAGCTTAGAAAAAAACTACAGTCGCTGTTCCAAACCACRAGGGAGGATTGAATGGTTCGTGATCCTCAAAATTCTCCTCTTAGAAGTAACAAAGATAACACTGATCCAGTAAGTAAACCGCTGAGAAKTCACGATTCAGATTACCTTGTCATTGTCATTCGTAAGTTATAAGCACAGTCCTACAATCTCTTGAGAAAATCTTACTTTGGACTATAAAGGGTTAATTTAACGCATATCACAGGCTTACGTCAAGTGCATTTCTCGGCTAAAGAGGACTAAAATTAATTTTTTTTTCGCCTTTTTTCTGTCGATTAATTTTGAATAATACCTTAGAT